GCGCCGGGCCCGGGGCCGGGTCGGGGGGCGGGACGGGCCGGGGCCGCCGCGGGCTCCTCGCAGCGCGGGCAGCGCCCCGGCCCCGCGGCGCCCTGCGCTCCCCGCGCCTCGTCCTGCACCGTCCCCCCGAGCCCGGCTGCCGCTTTTCCTGCCTCCTTGCCGCTTCTGTGTGCGCTTCGCAGCCCCCTGCGCCCCTTTCTGCACCCTGCAGCCCCGTCCTGCATCATCTGCACTCACCTGTGACCCTTCTGTCCTCCTTGCACGCCTGCGCTTCCCCCTGTCCCTGCTGTGTCCCCTCCGCACCCCCTGCTACCTCTTGCCCTCCCCGTGCTGCTCCCTGCCCTGGGCACCCCTTCTCCTTCCTCATCCTCCCCTTGCTCCCTGGGGCCCTGCCGTCCCTCCGTGTGCCCCCTCGCATCCCTGCATGTGGGGGCTGCTCCCTGCTCCCGCACCGGCTCCTGGCCACGCGCGTCCCGGCCGACCCGGGCGCTGGCTCTGCTCCTGCCTCTGTGCCCAGAGCAGAGGCGCTTGCAGCCCTGGGAGCAGCGTGGTGGAGGGGAGGGCAGCGCAGCCCCCCGTGCTGCGGGGCAGCCGCCTGTGCTGCAGGGTGCTGGGCTGAGCCCAGCGTTTTGCTCTCTATGGAGCCAACGCTGCAGTGCTGCTCCCGTCACCCCCTTGCAGGGTCCCTGTGCCCCACACGGGTGCAGGTGCCGGTGCTGCATGCGGGGAGCACTGGGGTGGCAGTGTTGGGGCCCTGCCTGTGGCAGCTTGCAGACCCCCTGCACCCTCGCACCGCGGGACGGGAGCAGCCTCTGCGGTGCCACCAGCCGCTGAGGAGCAGGCAAGGGGTGGCTGCACCGGGGGACAGGCGCTGGGACGGGATCATGGCGCTGGTGCCATTCGTGGGGGCGGCTGCACCAGGGGACAGGCGCTGGGACGGGATCGTGGCACCGTTGTGGCCAAGGTTGCACCATGCAGGACCCACATGCACGTGCTGAGTCCCCACCATGGACAGCCTGAGGGGTCCCTTCCCAGGGCTGTGCTGGGATGGGGGCCGTTGCTGCTCCCTCCAGGCTCACGCTGGGCAGGGGAGCACCCTCTGTTTTCTGGAGCCCCCGCTGCTTGCCGGAGCCCCCGCTGTTTGCCGTCGCAGGGGGGTGTTTCTGAAGGCATGCACGGCCATGGCCACCGCGGGGAAGCCCTGCGAGCCCGGCGGCCCTCGTCACACCAACCGCCTCATTAACGAGAAGTCCCCCTATCTCCTCCAGCACGCCCACAACCCCGTGGATTGGTAAGGAAGAATCTCGCCTTTCTGCCTGCAGCGGCATGAGCTGAAACGTTTGGGGCTGCGGGAAGGGGCTGTTGCAGAAGGGGTTACGGGCCTGTTTGTGGGGACAGAGATGCTCCCTGGCCGTCTGTGCCCAATGTGGGCATCAGCCAGTGCAAAAGTGGTTGATCTTGCAGCTCAGGCCTCACACTGCGCTGGGTTCCAGGCTTGTGAGCAGGGTTTGTGTAGTTAACAGTGGTGCCCTGACTGCTTTCCATCAGAGAGCAGCTGGGACCCAGGCCGCCTCTAAAGCTGTGGCAGCTGGAGCTTGTTTCTTGTCTTTCCTCTACAGGTACCCCTGGGGTCAGGAAGCCTTTGATAAAGCAAAGAAAGAAAACAAGCTGATATTTCTGTCAGGTAATTAGGAACAAGACATATTTAACTATCCTGCACGTCGTTCAGTAGATGATCAGATAAGCTGGGCTGCTTTGCCTGAGCTGATGTGTAAATAGCCCCGTAGGTAAGGATGCCGGTTATTGATTCTCCATCAGCAGGAGACACAGAGCTGTCTGCTTTAATGGGCCCTTGTTGTGAATGGGCTGCACCTGGAGTCTTCTTGGCCACCTCAGTGGTGGGTCATACCCTTGGAGCAAAAGCTGGAGGGTTCAGGAAGCCTCTGTGCTTGATGCAAGTGTTTTCCTTGCAGGCTCTTCTCCAGTTGGGAAGGCAGCTGTTCCCCTTAGCAGGGTACTGCATGCTCTAAGAGATGCCCCCATAGACCATGTGTCCTGCTTCTCAGCACAGGACCTCTCCTGACTTGTCTGAACTCCTTTGCAGTTGGCTATTCCACCTGCCACTGGTGCCATGTGATGGAGGAGGAATCCTTCAAGAACAAGGAGATCGGCGAGATTATGAACAAGAACTTTGTGTGCATAAAAGTGGATCGTGAGGAGCGGCCTGATGTGGACAAAGTGTACATGACCTTTGTGCAGGTAGGAGGCACGGGCCAGGTGAGGTGGGCTTTGAGCGTGCGACCCATGGCCACGTTCTTCAGGCAAAAAGTGATAGAGTTCTTGGGAGCTCGGTATATTGGATGCTCCTGAGGAGGCCATGACCACAAGGATGCAGAAAAACACCCGCTCCTCCTGCCGTGAGGTGCATGCCCGTGCCAGAGGGCACTGTTCACGTGCTCTTGGTGCAGCTGTGGTTTCTCTTGCAGGCAACCAGCGGTGGAGGCGGCTGGCCCATGAGTGTCTGGCTCACTCCCGACCTCAAACCCTTTGCGGGGGGCACATACTTCCCCCCCGATGATCGAGTTTACCGGGTTGGCTTTCGCACTGTGCTGCTCCGAATCGCTGAGCAGGTACAGAGCAGAGCGTGGAGGCGGGTAGCAGGCAGGGTTCAAACAGGGGGAAAATTGCAGAGATTTTGGACTGGGGTTGGCAGGTGCATGAGTGAGTTGAGAAAGTTTTCAGAATAAGTAGCAGGAGGAACAAAACAGAGTTTTGGGTTAGTTAATGATGGGTTTGAACTGATCTGGTCAGGGAGTTTGAGAAACAAAGGTAAAATTTGGACTGGTGCAGTACAGGAAGCAGAGAGAGAGAAGTGGCTTTTCTTGTTTCTCCTAGTGGAATCAGAACAAAGATGCTCTGCTGGAGAACAGTCAGAAGATCATGGAAGCACTTCAGATCCATGCTCGGATCTGTGGCCAGGCCCAGGAGTCACCTCCACCATCCCAAGAGGTGATGGCCATGTGTTTTCAACAGCTCTCCAAGTCCTATGATGAAGAGTATGGTGGCTTCTCAGAGTTCCCAAAATTTCCCACTCCAGGTCAGTCTGGACTCCATTGCTGAACTCTGCCATGGTGCAGACAGTGCCACATGGCCCGGAACCCTCCCTGTCACCTCCTGCTTTGTCACTGTGTTTCAGTGAATTTGAATTTCCTCTTCACATACTGGGCCTTGCACCGAACAACCCCAGAAGGCGCCCGGGCACTGCAGATGGCCACCCACACCCTCAAGATGATGGCCTACGGGGGCATCCATGACCACATCGGGCAGGTAAGAGGAAGGCCATGGAGGTGCAATCCAGGTGTGTGCCCGTGCTGTGGCATGGAGACATGTCCGCTTGCTCTTTGCAGGGCTTTCACCGCTACTCCACTGACCAGCACTGGCACGTCCCTCACTTTGAGAAGATGCTGTATGACCAGGGACAGCTGGCAACCGCGTACACCAGAGCCTTTCAGGTATGGCCACTGCCTTCTCTGCAAGGAGATGTGCTCAGCACGAGGAGTCCAGGCTGTGAGAGGCTGGCTCAGTTTGGGAAGCACCTTGGAAACCTGTTTACCAAGACAATGCTCATGTCAGTGGGCCTAGGAGGTCCCATTCTCTTCTTTGTTGAGCTAACTTCATCTGGATGGGAGTGCTGCACAAGCCTGTGGAAATCTAGCCATGGGATTTTGCATAGGAAGGAAAAGGATGCTTTTCTGGCCAGGCTTTGCAAGAGCCCTGGCAACATTTCCTGTTCCCCTTCAGCTTGGTTTAAAACCAGGGTTGTTACCCAGTGCCTGTAGATCTCTGTCAGAGATCTCACATGTAAAATCCTTGGGGGTTCAAGTGTGTTTCTCCCCTCTGTGGGCTGTTTAAATCAGAATTTCCTATGCCTTGTGGTGTCTCTTTCCCTCACCCCCAGCTCCTGTGTACTGCTACTGGAGGACTATTATTACTTATTTACTATTTCTTCCCCTTGCTATTACTATTACGTTTACCCCTGTCCCATGCAGGTCTCCGGTGATGAATTCTTTGCTGATGTTGTTGGAGATATTCTGCTCTACGTCTCCCGGGACCTAAGTGACCAGGTAAAGTTTTCCATGATCTGGGGCAAAGTGAGTCACTTAGACCTGCATGGGCTTCAGGGCTGTGGACGTGTTTGCCGCCTCCTGATCCCTTCTGATCCGAGTTAAGCTCAAGTCTATGGCGCTGCTGTCCATGCACTGCAGCCAGACTTAGCTTTAAACCAGGATACTTGGTGGAAATGGGGAGAAGCCCGAGAGATGCAGCAACTGGTGCTCTCTCTGTTAATGATGCTGATTTTCCCAGGCTGGAGGTTTCTACAGCGCAGAAGATGCCGACTCCTACCCGAGCGCCACGTCTGGAGAGAAGCGAGAAGGGGCGTTCTGCGTGTGGACCGCCGAGGAGATCCGGGCCCTCCTCCCTGAGCCTGTTGAGGGGGCTGCAGAAGGGACAACCCTGGCAGATGTCTTCATGCACCACTATGGGGTGAAGGAGGATGGCAACGTGAGCCCCGCGAAGGTGAGGGGGTGCCTGGTCCTGGTGCTTTGGATGGGGAAATCACCCCGTGGGGCACATGGCACAAGGGCCTGGCAGGAAGCTGCCCTGTGCCCGTCCCTCCCCAGCCAGGCGGTGTTTGTAGAGCAGGGCTCTCCTTCCAGGACCCCCACGGGGAGCTGAAGGGCAAGAACGTCCTTATTGTGCGCTCGTCGCCGGCACTGACGGCGGCCCGTTTTGGGCTGGAGCCGGGGCGGCTCGACGCCCTGCTGTCGCAGGGCCGCCGGAGGCTGGCAGCGGCTCGGGCACAGCGGCCACGGCCACACCTGGACACCAAGATGTTGGCATCATGGAACGGTGAGAGGGACGGGGAATGTGGCTCCGGGCCACGTCCCTGATGGCACACGGGCCGTGGGGGCAGGCACAGCACAGCCAGGCCCCTCCACGGCCCTCATGGGGCCTGGGGAGCTTTGTGGGGTATAAGGAGCTCCCCAAGTGCAGCTGAGCCAGGACAGACCTTGGGGAGGCCGCTTGGACCTGTTTTCTCTGGAGAAGACTGAGAGGGGATCTGATTAATATGTTGAAGTACATGAAGGGACAATGTAGAGAGGAAGGGGCCAAGCTCTTCTCAGTGGTGGCCAGTGACAGGACAAGGGGCAATGGGGACAAGTTGAAACACAGAAGTTCCATCTCCATATGAGGAAGAACTTCCTCACTGTGAGGGTGACAGAGCCCTGGCACAGGCTGCCCAGGGAGGCTGTGGAGTCTCCTCTAGAGATCTCTCAAACCTGCCTGGATGCGACCGGGTGCCCCGTGCTCAGGGTATCCCTGCTGGAGCAGGGGGCTGGACTAGATGATCTCTAGAGGTCCCTTCCAACCTCAACCACTCTGTGATTCTTGTGGGAGCTCCTGGAGGAAGCAGCCTTGGGTGCCTCCAAGCCGTGGTGGTGTTGGCAGGGACTCTGGCTGTTGCCCAGGCTCTCCGGGTGTTGCTGATGGTCATGGTGTTGCCTTTTTTCCCTGCTGCCGGCAGAGAGCAGCAAAGCCCTTCTCCTGGCTCAGCCCAGCTCCGCAGGGCTTGGCGGAGGGAAGGGAGCCGAGCTGGGCATTGCAGACCCGGCTGGGATCTCGCTCCCACGTCCGCCCCTCATCAACGGGGTCCGTGTTTGTCTGTCCTTGGGTCTGTGTCTGTCGGTCCAGGTGCCCTGCAACAGTCAACAACTGCCCGATCCTTGGGCACTGTTAGCCATAAATGCCTGATGCTGTTTTGGGGGACTGTATGAGCTGGAGTTATACCAGGTGCCTAAGTCCCACAAACAGACAGGATCTCTTAAGCCATATTTTTGCCCAGGAGCAAAGAGAGAGCTCCTCCTGGCCTTTCAGAGCTCTTATTCTCTCATCATTGATAAAAAGTCACTTTCTTAATGGTTTAAATTGTTTGTAAGAGATGACAGCTGAGCTCTGCCCTGCTTTTGGCCTGCCCTGAGTGTCAAGGCGGATGAGCTTCATCCTAAGCATCATTTAAAGGAAAGGTTGTGACTCTCCAACCAGTCCCTTGCACCCCAGCCTCTTCCTGAGCCTGTCCCTGTGTCTGGGGCCAATGCAGGACTGATGATCTCGGGCTTTGCCCAGGCCGGGGCGGCCCTGGCCAAGGAGGAGTACGTGTGTCGGGCTGCGCGCGCCGCCCACTTCGTGCGCAGGCACCTTTTCGACGCCGCCAGCGGGAGGCTGCTGCGGAGCTGCTACCGGGGCCAAGACAGCGCCGTGGAGCAGAGGTGAGAGGAGGTGCAGGGTGGCCCCGAGCTGCTCGCACACCCTGTAGCTGCTGCTGTGTCGGCCCCCCCTGGTCCCTGTCCTCCAGGTCAGGCTGAGCACGAAGGGAGAGGCTGTTTGCCGTGCGCAGAGCTGCCTCCTGTGCCTGTATTTGGGGATGGATTAGTGCTCTCAACCAACAGAGCAAGGAGGAATTAAGGTTACATCCTCTCCTTTCCTTGTCTCATCTTCTCTCCCAGCTGATAGGAGCCTTTCCCGTTGTCCCATGCTGCTTATGTCCCTGTCCAGGATTCCAGGGCTGAGTGGCGTGTTGACTTGCAACAACTGCTGCTTTTCTTGGACTGAGCTGAGGGGAGGGCCAAGCGAGGTGGTGTCTCCTCCTCTGACTCCCAAATAGCAGAAACCAGTGTCATTACCCAGTCTTAAGAGGTTGGAAACCACTACCCTCCTGACTGGCATGGAGACCCTGATGGTCCCTCTGTTGGCTGTTGTAGCGCTGTGCCCATCCAAGGGTTCCTGGAGGACTACGTCTTTGTCATCCAGGCTCTCTTTGACCTGTACGAGGCCTCGCTGGACCAGGGCTGGTTGGAGTGGGCCTTGCAGCTCCAGCACACACAAGACAAGCTCTTCTGGGATCCCAAAGGCTTTGCGTATTTCTCCAGCGAGGCTGGCGATCCCTCTCTGCTCCTCCGCCTGAAGGACGGTGAGCTTGGACACCCATCCTTGCTCTCCATGGCCAGGCATGGGATGTGTCCCCCGGGCAGGTTGTGGGGTGGCAGTTCAGAGGAGGGAGGGCTGATGTCTGGCTGTGGGGCAACTGGGCTGACTGAGGGGGGCTGTTCTCTTCCCACAGACCAGGATGGAGCAGAGCCCAGCGCCAACTCTGTCACTGTCATGAACCTGCTCCGAGCAGCCTCTTACTCCGGCCACATGGAGTGGGTGGAAAAAGCCGGGCAGATCTTGGCCGCCTTCTCGGAGAGGTTGCTCAAGATCCCGGTGGCCCTGCCAGAGATGGCCCGTGCTAGCGCTGCCTTCCATCACACCCTCAAGCAGGTAGGGACCAGCCTGGGGGTTGCCTGGGGCTCGCACACTTGTCTCTCCCTGTGGGCCACACTGTGGATACGGGGCAGGGAGCACCAGGCAGACGTGTCTACCTGCACGTTTGCCCTGTAAGCACATGCTCCACCACCCAAGCTCACCACCTCAAAGCGTGCGGGAGGGTGACAAGGTGACATCCGTCTGTCATTAAAGCCTGTGCTATATGGGGCTTATTTTTGATGCTCCCCAGCCTGACTAGGGGCCCTGCTTTTGGCATGTTTGTGGTTCTCGCTTCCAGCCTCCTCAGCCGCTTCCAGTTCAGATCCATAGTCTGGGTGCAGGTGCCCTGCATTTTCTTGAGCTGCCTATGAGGGCTTTTCTCAAAGCCTCTGTGTTTCACCGTGAGCAGTGCTGAGCCTCTGCTCTGTGTAGCCTCAGGGGTGGCTTTATGTCTATGCTGGAGTCTGATCCTCAGGCTCATGACTTCTAGGTGAGACACCAGAAACTGCTGGGCCACCAAAGCCCAAAAGGAGTGAACCTGGCACGGGACAGGGGCCCAGAGCTGTGTGAACATCCCCCAGGAGCAAGTACTGCCAGGGGTCTCTACCTCTGCTCTCTTCTTCCTGACATTTATGCTCTCTCTGGACAGGTTGTTATCTGTGGAGACCCACAAGGAGAAGACACAAAAGATCTGCTTCGCTGTGTACACTCTGTCTACTGCCCAAACAAGGTAGGGGTGGCAGCCCTCGCCCTGTCCCTGCTGCACAGCCTCTGCCCTCCTGGCCGCAGTTGCGCTCAGTGCTGCCAGCTGGGCTGCTTGTGTTTCCTCCGCTCTTCCAGTGCTGCTGAAGCATCCATCTTCCTCCTCCTTCCCACCCTGTCCTGCTTCCCTTCTCAGGAATATCCCCTTGCAGCTTGGCGTGGGCTGCAGCTCAGCCCTCTGCCCCTCTCCTTGGTGCAGGGCCAGCAGTTCAGCCCCTCCTGGCAGCCCGGCCCGGGGTGGGAGCTGATAGCCCAGCTGTATATGTTCACCCTGTGCTCTGCCTGGCCCGTGCCCCAGCACTGCCCTCCCCAGGGAAAACCGTTGGTTCCCATGTGGATGTGTCGTGCCCTGCACTGATCCGTCCACCTGGCCTCTCGGTCACCTTCAGCCTGGAGATGCTCTTACGTCTCTGGGAAGAAGATGCTTTTTCCTTGCTCCCTCTGCGCCAAAGGCTTGGTAGCCTGGGTCTGGCTTCTCCTAAACCACCTAGCTCCGAACCCGTGTGTGACAAGCTGTGCTTGCTGCTGTGTGTGTGGTGGGGCACTGTCCTGCTACACTTGTCTGAGTCTCTGCTCAGGGACGTATCATCCAGTGCATTGCAGGGCTGGGATGAGTGCCAGGCACCCCAGGGCCAAAGGGAGAACCCCAGCTCCGAGGGAGGCTCCAAGGGGCCACATTGAGGTGGGAAAAAGCTTTTTTTCCCTGCAGATTTGTCAGGGAGCAGCCGTGCTGCAGCTGGTTCCCGGCACCTTCGGCTGTAGTGCCTCCAACCAGGATATGGTTGGGGAAGGGAGCCCTGGTCCTTCCTCCCCTTGCCCGCTCCAGCTCCCGTGCATCCCGGCTCAGGCAGCCTGTGGCCCGCGCTGGTCCCTGTGCTGCACACGAGGCCCATCTCTGCTCCGGCTTTATTCCTCCCTCTCCCTTTGAAGGATTACAGCGAGTGACCCAGTTACCAGGAGTCGAAAGCACCGTACTGGCAGCGGGGAGCCAAGGGCTGCTGCTAATAACCAGCGCTCTTCCCCAGCAGCAGGTTCAGGGCTGGTTCCCCCGAGTCTGAGCTGGCCCTGGGAGAGGAGCAGAGCTGACAACTCGAGGGGTTTTGAGCAGATCGGGTCGCCCTGTGGTTTCTCCACACCGCAGCAAGCCTGGCTGTTGGGAGGTTTGCACCTCATGGGGATGCTCCATCCTCCCCAGGCCTTTGCCTTCCCCACAGCAGCGAGGGAGAGGAGGGCTGCGTGCCCGTCCTGCAGCTTGTTTGTGCTTCCTTCCTGGGGCCTGGAAAAACACTGGAAAGTGTCACTTGGCCAGTGATCACAGGCGAGCTGTGAGCGTGGAGGGGGCAGCTGGGGTGGTGGAGGACAGCTTGGGGGTCCGTGTCTTGCCTTGTGTCTGATGTTCGCGTGGCTTGTTGATGATTTCTGCTTCCCCCTGTGCTGATTCCGAGTGGGACTAACTTCTGCGTGCTTGGGACAGCAAGGATAGAAAAACAGCCTCTTATTGTGCGTGCAGGGCCAGGGTTCCTCCTCGTAGCATCTGGAAAGGTCGTCCTGGAAATGCCCATTCCCTGTGCTGGGATGGGCAGCTGCAAGCAGGGACTGAGCTGAAGTTGCCTTATCCCCCAGCGTGAGTCCCCACATTGTGGCTTGGACGTGCTGGGCCGAGGCAGGTGACAGATCAGAAGCTGTCCTGCTTGGCAGCCTGGCTGCTGCCTGAGTTTATTTCCTGGAAGAAGGATTTTTCCCACGTGCCTATGGATACGGCAGGAAGATCTCTGCCAGGAAAACACTCTCCACCAAAGGAGTGCAGAGCCTGAGGAAGATATTTCTTCTTCCCAGTGCACCAAATGCTGAAGGAGCTGTAGGATCTGAATTCATCCTCAAGTTTTGCAACCCCAGGCTCGCCCAGTCCGCCTTCATAGCGCTTGTTCCTGCAGCGAGAGGGGTGCCTGGGTTGCTGAGCTTGTCTCCAGCAGATGGGATGTCAGAGGCCTGTGCCCATCATGGTGACAGTTGCTTCTCCCTGCTGTCACGGAGGCCTGGGGTGAGAGATCTGCTCTCCTCAGTGTTATTTGGCTGTAATGGAGGCTGACAAGGACACAGGGCTGGGTAGAAGTGCAGAGCCCTGGTCCGTCTTCCTGGGACAGACTGGTGAAGACTTTGGCTCGAAGGTGACACTGTGATCCTGGCCCGGCTTCCACCTTGTAGGGAGGAACAAGGCTGGAAAAGCAGCCTGGATTCTCCAGGCTGGGCACAGCCACAGGCCAAGCTGGTCCTGGCAGAGCTGGTGTCACCCATGTTTCGTGTCTGCCTCTGGCTTGTGCGTGGCACCAGTTTGGATGATTTAATCCATAGGAAGAGATTCCCTCTCCTCACCTTGCAAAGGTGATGGAGAGAAGAGAGTCAAGCCCTGCTGCTCAGCACTGGTGTGAGGATCACGGTCTGGAGCTCCCTGCCCTCTCCTGCCAAGCATCCCTCTTTGCAGAGCATGGAAAGGGAGACACTATTGCTCCTTCTGTCACTCATCTTCATCCCTCTCCGGATGCTCTTCATCTCTCCTCCCCATTCCCAGGAAAGAGCCCAAGGCTGAGCCGCCCTGAGTCACCTGCTCTGGGGACCCGGCAGCTTTGGGAAGCGGCACTTTTGGGAAGCGGCTCCGCCAAGGTGGGAGGGAGACGTCACTGCTGCGTCTCCCGACGCCCCCGCTCCCCGCGGTGCCCGCAGGACGCTGGGGGCTAGGCTCCTTTGCAGGAACACAATTAATTAGGTCGTTCCAGTAATTAATTCCTTGCAAACCTCACACTGAAATTCTTGCTGTAATAAGGAGCCGATGATAAAGCGGCATTGAGGTCGCCGGAGCCGGCGGATGGAAATGGGCATCGGGAGGAGCCCTTGGCCGGGCTGGGGGCACCGGGCAGGCCGCGCTCTGAGCCCATGCTGGTCCCTAACTCCTTGGGATGACAGTCTGGGATGAGATCTGCGGCTCCCGTGTCAGTCCCAGACTCTATGCCACTAATTGGGGATTTTTGTCAGTGAGTCCCAAAGTGGCCAGGAACCTGGGAGAAGCAGTGGAGAGCTCAGGGAAGCGTGGAGCGTGTGGGGAGGAATGCAGGGTGATGGGCACAAGGGTCTCGGTAGTCCCTGTGCAGCTCCCTGGCCCGAGCAGTGCCCTTGGCACCGTGGGCCTCATGTATCTGTGGCTGCTGGTGCAAAACAGGCGAGTGAGATTAAACAGGGCGAAAAAGCAGCATTTTGGTTCTTGTGCCAGCCAGGGAGCAGGCGCTGGTCCCTGGTGCCACGCGCTACCCGGGGCAGCACCAGCTTCACCCTGCTCGTGCATGGTGCTGATGCTCATCTGCAGCCTGCCCTGCTGCGTGCCTCAGTTTCCCCCTCTTCAGCACCCCCGTGCTCTGTAACCCCACGCAGGGAGCTGCCTCTCCAGGCAGGACACGGGACACTTCTGCGGTGACATCCCGGTGGCTCCGCCAGCAGCCCCGTTTCCCACGGCTGCTGTCGGGAGCTGAGCAGTGCCACAGGCCCCCCTGCTCCTGGGTGAAATCTCTGCCCCCTTAATGGTCTTTAGGGTAATTAGGAAGGATCCCATTATCTGCCCGCTGCCGTGCAGGAGCTCGCCGGCTCGCTTTATCCCGGCCCTGCAAGAGGACCTTGGGGAACCAGCGAGAAAAATGAATAATGAATTTCAGATTGGACGTGAATTGGTAATTAATCACTCCTGGAATTAATTCCAGACAAAGCCAGCGAGGGAGGAGGGCAAGCAGGGGAGCAGGAGGCAGGGAGGGGAGCAGGTTGAGATGGGCCCGGTGAGTGTGTGACAAGTGTGTCGGTGCTCAGCGGGCAGCAGTGTGTGCAGGGCTGGGCAGAACCGTGAAACTTTGGCATTGAGTGCCCTGCAGCTGGATGTCAGGGAATGATGGGATCCTTAAGGTTGGAAGGGAGTTCAAAGCTCACCCATTCCAACCCCCTGCACACGCAGGGTCACCCAGAGCATGGGGCACAGGTTGAGTCCAAGCGGGCGTTGAAGATCTCCAGAGAAGGAGACTCCACAGCCTCTCTGGGCAGCCTGTGCCAGGGCTCTGGCATCCTCACTGTCAAGAAGTTCTTCCTTAAGTTTCTGTGGAACTTCTGCTGCTTCAGTTCGTGGCCGTTTCCTCTAGTTCTGTCAATGGCCACCACAGAAAAGAGGCCACCCCCTCCTCCTCACTGCCTCCATGAGGTATTTCCAGACACTGCTCAGGTCTCCTTCTCTTCTCCAGGCTGAACAGGCCCAGCTCTCCCAGCCTTTCCTCACAGGGCAGATGCCTTAGACTCCTGATCACCCCCATATCCCCAGGCTGGACTCTCTCCAGCCGCTCCACGTCTCTCTCCTCCCCACAGGTGCTGCTGCTGGAGGATGGCGCGGACTCCTCCTTCCTGCGCCGCCGGCTGCCCTTCCTGCGGGCGCTGGCACGGGAGGCCGGGAAGGCCACGGCCTACGTGTGCAGCGGCTCCGGCTGCTCGCTGCCCGTCACGGCGCCGCGGGAGCTGCGCGGGCTGCTCCTGGGAGCCCCCTAACAAAGCCACGCCGGGCACCGGCGGCATCCCGTGCCCTTCTTGGTATGGCAGCGGGACCCGTCGCGGTTGGGCTGGGGCACAAGCCCGAGCTGCTCTAGTGGCATCTCCCTGGCACGGGGATGTGGGGAGCGAGCAGGGCACAGGGTTTACCCTCACAGGATGGGTTTGGGTGGGCAGAGGGGTCCTACAGCACACACCGGGTCTTGGCCACATCTATGTCCAGGATGGCAGCACAGAGGGAGTCACAGCACCCAGGACAGGCTGACACCGCTCCGCCTGCCCCGTGCTCCTCCTCGCCTCTTCTCATGCAGGAAAAAGAAAGCAAATTAAATATAAATCCCGGCACTAATGCAGAAGTCAGATGCGAAAACTATTAGGGTTCCTATGGCAACCCAGGTTAACATTTTCAAACGCACTTGAAGGACTTAAGAGTCAAGTGCCTTTGAGAGCGTTACCCGGTAAGACAGCCGTGGTATTTTTCCATTACAGGGTGGATTGTAACATACGTACGTTAATACATGGTGTATGCAAAAAAAAAAAAAACCTGCTGTTGGCCACAACTGATGAAAAGTTGCACTACGACCAAACCTAAGGGCTTCCAAGCAGCTGAGTAGCGTGGTGCTGCCCTGCCAGGGATGGAGCTGCCTGGCACGGCCTCGGGAAGGCTCCTCGAGAGTCTCATCCCAGTAAACGCTCCGATGCCCAAGGCCCCGCTCGGAGCTGGCTCATGAGACTGCAGTTTGTCCTTGCTCTTGCAGAGAAGGGGAGTGAGTTGGGGGTGGCCGAGGCCCGTGGGAGACCGTGTCCTGTGGCCAGCGATTGCAGGAGCAGGGAGGTGCTGCAGCTGTGCCCTGTTTGGGGCCGTTAGTCCTCCCCAAAGGGACAGGGCTGCTCGGCGGTCCCCAGCCCTGCGGGGAGCATCCCGGCTCCTGCCGCATCCCAGAGGAGGAAGAGGAGGGGGATGGTGGTGTCCGGCTCGAGGAGGCGGGTGTGGATAGGGGGGTCTCCCAAGGATGCGTTTTTGGGCCGTGGGCTCTGCGTAGGGGTGTTTGGGGTGGCATGGGTGCACGTGTGGGTGCTGCGGCTCTGCTGGCAGAAAGTTTCACTGGCCTCAGGGAAAGGCTGAGAGCCCCTGGAGAAGCTTTTTGCCTCGCAGTTAAACCCTGGTGCTTCGTAGGGGTGTAGGTCCCATGTCTCTGGATGGGGATGCTTGGGAGACGCAGCCCCATTCTCCCGGCTGGCTGCGAAGCTCCTGCGTGACTTCCTGCATTGAGACCAGAGCAATGCCTTTCCCTAAGGATCTCCTGCATCCCTGCGGATCTCTTCCACCCCTGTCCGCAGTGGCATGAGATCCCTTTGCCAGAGCTTAAACTTCTTTCTATTTTTCTTTTTTCCTCTCTCCCATCCCTCCCCTCCCTGCTTGCAAACCAGCGAGTTTCTGCAGGTTTTCCAGAGTCGCTCCGAGCTCACCGGGCTCCCCTGGAACAGCAGCCGGCCCCGCGATGCCGCCAGGACACCAGGGCTCCGGCCCCAGCCCCTTCCCAGCAGCTGCTGCCAGGATTCGGGGGGCGACCGGCGGGAGAGACGCTTTGAAGCCGAGGAGGAATTTTGCACCTCATCTCGGAATACTTTTGGCGCTGGTGGAACAGGAGGGTTTCTTTAACTTTCCTACTTTCCTTGTAAAAAGTGTTTCTGGAAAAGCAGCTCAGCGTCACTGGCTCGGCTGCATTCCCGCTCCCCTCTTCCACCTCAGCACCTTCAGGATTAACTCCCCGGCCCGAGGCCCCGGCGGCGACGGCCTTTCCCACGCGCCGTCCTGCTCCTCGACGCGTCTCCGTAGGCAGCCGCCGGGCTCGAAGTCGCCGTAAACAGCCTGTCAGCATTAATCGGGCTGACCCGTTAGGAAAAAATCCCTTCTCCGCAATAAATAAAAGGGCGGCAGCGCGAGGCTGCCGGCGGCCCCATCCCCGCGGGAGGCGGCGCCGCGGGGGCACCGGCTCCGCTCGCCCCCGGCGCTCCTTCCTCATTACTTTTCCTGCCAGCCCCTCACCGGTTTCGCTGCGAATCAGCCTGATTTGCTGAAACTGGTGTTTTCGGGCCCGAACCTGTCGGTGTGATTAAATGAAGGCGCCGCTGACGGCTGCGGGAGAAGCCGCCTCTCAGCAGCTCTGGCGCCCCACGTCCCTCTCGTCTCAGTCACCTGCCCGAAGCCTCAAAGGGAATCAGCAAGGAAAGTTTGAGCAGCATTTTGGGATGTTTGAAGGCGTTTTGGGGTGTTTTGGGGCATGGTGGCAGCAGTCAGGTTGGAATCCCTTTTCCCAACCCCAGCAATGCCGCTGTCACAGGGTAGCTCGGGGATGGTCAGGAGGGGAACGGGGTTGATGCTGCTGGATTTGTCACCCTGCTGCCGGCTGGAGCTCAGCCGCCCCACACAGGCCTTGCCGACCCACATTGATGCTTTTAAATCAGGTCTCCTGCCCCTCTCCTGGGGCAATCCTATGGATTCGTCATAGGGAGGCTCGCGGGTCAGCCCTGAGCGGCAGCGAGGCCCTCGCCGCTTATTGAGGCTTATGCAATGGCTGCCTGGCTATTACGCAGCTATTAATCCTCCTTTAATGTGGTCTGGGTATTTGCTGAGCTCGGTAACTATTGCATTAAATCTAAATTAAATGTGTGTTTTGGAGGAGCGCCTGCTTGTGGAGGGTGACGCGCACAGAGAGGAGGGGCGTTTTGGGGACGTGCAAAGGGGCTGCGTGCTGGACAGGTCCCTGGTGGGTCCCCGATGGTCCCTTTGCTCCTGGGCTGCTCCCTCCCGGCTGTTGGCACCGGGACGGGTGGCGTCACCGCTCCCTCCACACGCTGCTGGCTTAATAACGTGGTGAGATGCTGCGAGCAAAGGGTCTGCCCGGCCCCCAGGACGTCGCTGCGGTTAATGCAGAGCCCAAAATCTGCACGTTTGGGGTCAGGCTATTATATAAAACTCACACGTGTGGCTCGACCTGCTGCCCTTGGTGCTGGCTCCTGGAACCAGTGACCTCAGGGCTCATTAAGCAGACCTGGTTGCAAAGAGTGGCCGTGGGTCTGGGTTCGCTGGCCGGGGCAGGCAGGGACGGGGCCGCGCTGTGATTATCTGGAGATTAAAGGCAGCTAATTGGGAGCAAGGGAGGCTGCAGGGATCGATAGGACGGGGTGACAAGCCTGGAAGCAGAATGGATTATTTTTTCAGGCGTGCACGAGACGGGCCATTGAGCCCTGCTGCTGTTGGGACCAGGAGGCTTCTCCAGCTTGGAGAAGTCGGCCAAGGCTCCTGAGTTTCCCTGGATCTGGATCCAAGCTGCCCAGGCCACCTGCAAGGAGCGGGCACCAACCGGAGCACCCTGGAATGGGCCGCTTGCTGCTGCGATCCGGGTGTCCCAGTGTCCCGGGGTGCTGAGCACGCGGCTCCGGTGGCTCCAGCGGCTCCGGCCGCTCCGGCTCCTCCGGCAGCGGAGCGCAGCGCGCGGCGGGCTCTTTTTTCATGGCTGACAGCCCATGAATATTTATGGCTGCGTATTAAAAATGTCCACCGCATCCCAAATTAGTCACGGGGCCCGGGATAGCTCCGGGACGCCTCGTGCGGTGCCATTGATGTCACCCTCGCTCGCCTGGCGCCTGCCGGAGCGGCGCTCCCAGGTACCGTGGGGTGCCGGAGCCAGCTCTGCCCCGGGCTGCTCCTCCACCCATCGTCCGCAGTGCTGGTGGCATTTTGGGGGAAAAATGGGAGATTTCTGCCCTCGAGCAGGCCCGGGCAGGCATGCTCAGCTTTGGGGTGGAATCTCTGCTCTATTCCCAGGCCAGCTCTGCATCCCACTGGCACCCGCATCCCCCCAGCCCAGCGCTGGAGTGCCGGGATTGGGGCATTCCTGCTTGTTCAGGAATGGATCGTCAGAGCCCCGTAATTAGCCGCTGGCAGCAAACACCGTGCCCGGCAGCACTGCCGTTATTAGCGTTATTATTATTATCAATAATAAGCCCATTTGCAGCGCTGGTGTCTGCAGGGCGGCCGAGAGCAGAGCTCCGGGATCCCCATGGGCATCCCTGCATCCTGCCCTCAGGCCCAGCCTCGCTCCCGGCCCGGGATCCTCGGGATGCTGGGGGACACGGGCGCTGGCGCCAGGGCTGCGTCCCCATCTCCCGCAGCGGTCCACACGCTGCCGCTGCTGAGGGAGCAGATTTAAAAACAGGATTAAGGAATTCTGGTCACGAGCCTTGGCGAAGTTGTAATTTAAATTTAATTTAAATTCCCGTGTTATTTTCCCTCCCGGATAGCTGTTTTCTTCAGTCCACGGCATGTTTTCCCGCTGTCGGCAAAGCGAGGCGCTCTGCGCGTGGAGCGGGACGCTCCGGAGCCCCATCCGTGCCTGGGGCAGCCCGAGGGGCTCCCGCAGGGCTCGCGAACGTCTCCCTTCCCGCAGGAGGGTTTTCCTCCCACGGGGCAGCTCCGCTCGAGCTGCTCTGCGCGGCTCTATCCCGCCTGCCCAGGCAGAGCCTTTTCCTGGAGCGGCGGATGCACGAGGCTGAGACGGAGCTTCGGGGCGCAGGGATGATGCTGGCAGCGCCCAGATATGCACAGAATGCATTAAAACGGGATGCAACTAAAATAAAATACACACGTGTGCCTCCCCTCCCATCACTTGCCCTTCTTGCAGTGCTGGGGCCTTCGGCAGGAGGAGGAGGAGGCAGCGGGGGGCGTCAGCGCTCTCTCTTTTACCATTTCTCCCTTTTTTCTCCCCAGCATGCACGCTGGAAACTCCAGATTCCTCTTCCCTCCCCTCCACCCTGCTTGGTTTATGGCTGTTTATCTATAATTTAGGTTGGTTTTCAGTTCTATTATAATTGGGTTCCATGTGTCACAGCATGGCTCAAACGGAAAATATAAATATTTAACAAGCTCCACTGGTAATAAAGATTCGCATTTGCCTCGTTTCGGCTCCCGGCGCCCGGATCCCGCGTCCCGCGCTCCATGGATATTTGTGTCCTTCCGATGCCTCCCCGCTTATGCAACACGCCCTTCCTGATGGAGAGAAGCCGCCCCTTAAAAATAACGGGGAGCAGCTCCGCGATGCCGGCTCCTCGCGTGCCCGGGGACAGGCAGGTGCTCCCCATTGCACCCCGAAGGGCTGGAAAAGGCCGGTTTGTCCCCAAAACGCACGACGCGCGGGGTCGGGCTGCGTGCCTGCTGGCTGTGGTTGCTTCCCGAGGGCGAGAGCGAGGAGGGACGGGCGCTCCCGGAGCAGCCCCGTGTCCCCCAGTCCCTACCAGGGTGCCGTTCCCCCCCCGTCTGTCCTACTTTGCCATCGGAGCCCTGGCAGGGCTGGCCAGAGCGCGTTGCCCTGAGCCTCCCACCCACCCTCTGCGCATCCCACGGGATGAAACCTCTGCTTTTCCTCCCTATCACTGCCATGAACAGTCACGGACCCCCAGTGTCCCTTCCTCCCCTGCTGGTGGCCAGGGAAGAGGCACAGCTGTGTCCTGTTGGTGACAGGGCCCTCCAGGCCGGCCCGGGGCAGGTGTGATGAGTTGGAGCTCAGCTCGGCTCTCCGGGGAGCAGCTGGGAGCCCAGGTGTGCTGGGACAGGCCCCGAGGAGCCCCTTTAAAAGAGGTGTGAGGAGCAGTGTGAGGGTTGTCCTGGTGGAGCTGCAGGTCCTGGTGGTGCCAAGGAGCTGCAATGGGGTTGATGGCACCTGGTTGGAGATGCCTGGTGTCAGGTAAGGCCAAAATCATCTGCACAGGAGTCCTGCTCGTCACTGTGCCCTTGTGGCTGGACGAGGGAGCTGGGGGTGCTGTGGAGTGTCCCTGGCGGTGGCACTTCCCCGTGCCATGAGGAGGGTTTCTCTCTGCTGGGGATGCAGGTGGCTGGTGCTGCCCTGCTCATCAGCAGCTCCCCTGCTCAAGGTGCCCAGGTTGCAGCGCTGCAGTTACTGCATTACCTGCACCCTGGATTTCTGGGGGGCTGCACCCCCAGCCCTTGGTTGCCTTGCTCCTGCTGTCACAGGGAGTTTGCAGACCCGCTCGCAGCCGTTGCGCTCCGGCACGTGCGCTGCCTCCTTCCCCATGGAGCAGTGCCGGGGAGATGTTGGGGAGAGAGGGGGCTGCAGGCGGGGGCTCTCCCACAACTGACAAAGATCCCTCTGGGAAAAGGCAGGAAATGGGGGGAGCGTGGGGCGGGGATGCTGGGGGGGAGGCTGGCAGCGCTGCCTCCAACAAGTGGCAGCAGCAGCCGGCCGGGTTGCCGGTGGGTTTATTTTCCCTTCTCCACGAGCGCCGCTTCCTTGAAAGCTGCTTTGTTCCAGCCTCCAGTTGCAGAGGCGCCTGCAGGAAACACCCGGGTCGGGTCGCTCGGCTTTTGGGAAGCGTGGGCCCCGCTCGCTGGGGCGCGTGGCGGGGACAGACCGGGATGGTGCCGAGCGCGG